CTCGGGTGGAGTCAACAACGATACCATGATTGTTTTGTGGCCATTCTGTTAGTCGCAGCTAGTTTTCTGCATCACAGCCCTGCAAATAAAAGATTAGACTGAGTGTCGACAGCAATGTCAACATCACTGACCATTGCCCGGTGACAGCGATGACTGCATTGTTTGACTCTGAATTTATTTACATGATGCAGTGATAAGATTTGAAACCGCACGCCGGCTTTTCTTTGTATTGTTTCAGACGTTCGCTCATAGCAGACTGTCATGGATTCAGCTGTCTGGCTTTCTTCAATCAGTTGAGATAATATTGTTGTCTTAATAAAAGAATAATGGGTCATTTTTGATGCACGTACACTCTGCTTCAGTAAAATTTCTTTGGGAACAAAATCAATGCCATGGATGGAAGAAGAAAATCTCTCTGGAAAAATAACACAATTGTTTTTCTGCTCTAAATTTGTGGCATTACGCTGTAGATGCTCTGAAGGCCCCACTTGTACACTGAATACAAGAAAATTATTGTAAAGAGTAAGACATCCATGTTTATACTGCTTAAGGCTTGTTGGTGTCATGATTACTCACAGGGATGGTTAGAGGACAGCTAGCTTCTACCCTGCTACAAGGAGGCCACTTATAGTAACGTGAAAATGAAATTTCTCACAGGCCTCTATCCAGTCCCGAGAAAATCGAAGTACACCTTTATTGCTTCCACTGAAATTAAGTGCTGAACTTACTGTTTGATGATCAGCAAGTGTGAGCACCTCTACGAGCATTCAGGTGTGTGTTAACACTTCTTCCCAGGAGTGGACAACCACAACATTTCTGGAGAGTAAAGTGGAAATATTTGACCACTTTAGCAAAAACCAAACACATTATGTCAACACAAGCACCTACCACATGCCAACTCACGGCCAAGCACAGTGGTGTAGGGATGATGATTTGGGCACTTTGCAGTCATTGTGTCAACCATGAACTCTACAGTATACCAAAGTATTCTAGAGTCAAATATAAGGCTGTCTGTCTGGCAACTAAAGCTTGGCTCATGCAACAGGATAATGATCCCAACAGTGGCGGTCCTAGCCTGTTTGGCGCCCCGGGCGAACACTCCCTCTGGTGGAGTTTAGTCTGTTACTGTTACTGTTTTTACCATTTCTCTTTGGAGCAACTGTAACCCACATTATTTCCTTAGGGATTAATGAAGTATTCTGATTCTGATTCTGATTGTTTCAGGATGACCTGCCATTATCCAATGACACATCTGCTTACCTGTATCTTTTGCTCGTTTCTCCTCCTCTTCTTTTCTCTTTTTTCTAAACTGAGGACCTGATGGCTTTGAACTTTTCTTGTCCATCTTCCATTGGTTTTAATTTTGCACTGCAGTATGAACACAAATCCCCCAACTCGAGGATCACCACAACATAACCTAATAGACCTACACCTTAGTTCACAGATTCACTTTGTCTAAGGTTTATTTCTGGGATTTCACACAACCCAGGATTCAGATCATGAATACATAATGGGCTTGGATTTACAATATTATGAATGAAATGTGCTCTATCATCAGAGACCCCAGTCACCCATCACATGGACTCTTCACCCTCCTGCCCTCTGGGAGGCGCTACAGGAGCCTCCGGACTAAGACCACCAGGTACCGGAACAGCTTCTTCCCCACAGCTGTCAGACTCCTGAACTCTGCCTCCTGACATCTGACCCACATTAACTCATGGACTGAACATACACACACACACACAATGGACAACTGTACCCTCAAACACACAATAATAACATGGAGTGAACCACCACTCACAACCACTAGCACTTTATATAGCCTCTGTAGAAACTATCTACACCCTCACTTATCTTAACTGCACTGCTGTATAGCCCTGTGTAAATAATCATTCTGTACATACGATAATTTTTAACCCTACAACTGTTTACAACTTGCATAGTTCCCATTTCTGTATAGCTGTATATCTCAGATTTCTGTAAAGTTATTTATTTCATATTCTGTATAGTTTTTCATATTTATATCCTGTTCATATCCTGTACATAGCTTGTACTCACTACAGCCTGTACATACTTATAGTTATAGAATATTCACAACATACTTCATACCGTGTACATTATAACATAATAGACCCATTTCTGTAATATACTTACATATCTATATTATTGCTAATATATATTGTAATATATCTATATCACTGAAGCACTTCTGGATGGATGCAAACTGCATTTCGTTGCCCTGTACCTGTGCATGTGCAATGACAATAAAGTTGAATTCTATTCTATTATATTCTATTCTATCTGGAAGCAGCGGGTCTCTCCTCGCCTTTCGACGGGTTGTGTGTGAGATCATCAAACTGTAAATTATAAATTTTAAATTGTTATTGATCCCTTTACTCCTGGTCCTAAAGTGTATGTTTATTTTCTTACTCTTCTTATATATATTGTTTGTTTACTTGCACTGCTGTAACTGGAGCCTCGTCGTCTCGTCTCTCTACATACTGGACTGTATATAGCAGAGATGACAATAAAGTTTACTTTGACTTCAGCAGCAAGCAGGCGCACCGAGGGCTCTTGCACTCACTTTTCGCATATAGAATTTCAAAAAAACATCGGTGCAAATTATAAGTCTGTATCATAATGTCTCGTGTTTTCGTGTTTGTTGTTTTGTTTTGTTTTTATTGTTTTATTTTGCGAGTTGGTTATTAGATGCTGCTCCAGCCAGCCAGAGAATCCCCCGCCGCCCCGCCCTCTCCTCCCTGTGCCGCAAGCAGCAGGCGCACCTCGCAAACGGAGGGCGTCCTTACTCCCAGCAAATGGGCGATAGCAAACCGATCGGTGCCTATGACATTCCCAATATGCGCTGGCTGATGTCGGGGCAGCATGAGTATGAGAATTTTTTTTTTTTTTGCAGATGTCCATGAATCCGGCCCCCACCACGATGCCGCCCCGGGCAAATGCCCGTGTCGCCCGTATCAAAAACCGCTACTGGATCCCAAGCACAACGGCTACAAAAGGATAAGAAGGTGTGACCGAGTCAAAGTTAAGTCAAGCTGACTGAAATGCTGTGGCGAGACCTTGAGAGAGCTGTGCATAAAAGAATGCACAGAAACCTCAATGAAGTGAAGCACAGTTGCAAAGAAGAGTGGGCCAAAATCCCTCTGCAACAATGTGTGAGACTGATAAAGTCAGAGAGAAAGTGATTACGTCATGTTATTGCTGTTAAAGATGGTTCTACAAAACACTGAATCACCGGGCAAACTTAGTTTTTAACAGGGCTGCATGAATTCAGAAATGCATGTTAAATTATCACCTTAATGGTAAGAAAATTTTAGTGTCATCTGGCTCTTCTGGTATGTGCATTACTTGCTGTGCGCAGTATGAAACAATATACATAATACGGTGCACTAATGGAAAGACGAGACGCATCATTGATGTATCATACAAACCAACAGTAGTGGAAAAATTAAGTCAATGCAGAAAACTTACATTCTATCTGAAGGCCATCAGATAGCAATAATTGTGGCTACTGAAATATTTACATTTCTATAGAAGTGTATTGAAGAGCCAATGAGCATGAAGCAGAGCTTATCACGTTTTTTGTTTTGTTTTTTGCAACAAAAATGGTGACATAGGAAACGCTCATCTCAAGGCTTCAAAACAGATCTTCATTAACCAGTGGGTGGCCTCACAGCAGCTACACCCATACCCACCCTAAAAGACAGATGGATGGATCGTGTGGTTCATGTGTTTCGTCCATATGTTGTCATTTCAATCAGACAAAATTATATCACTTTTATTTTAAAAGTGTATTTGTTTTGCCAGTTGTAAATCTAAAATGTTTACAGTGGTAAAGCCGCTGCACACTGAAGTTAAGTGTGCGGCTTAATAAACTTGGCAAAAAACTTAATTTCATGCCTCTATGGTTTAGTGCACTTTGGATAGATCAGAGATTGGATGTGTCAGCAGCTTAGGGAATTCATGTCAGTTTTTCTGTGGTCTGTACTCCAGCTCGCTGCATACTAAAACACCAGTGTGTTCAAAATTAGGAACATCAAACTGGGACAGCATCCAAAGTTCCTACTTTTACTGGAGTTTGTATTTTTGACCTTGAAGTGTTCCTTTTATCCTAATTTCCAGCTCAATAATTTGATTCTTGGACTCTAATGAAATTGCATGATTCGCAGTTCAAAATTCTCCTTATTTTTCTTATGGCGTGCCTTGGTGCAGCCTCTCAGTTCATCCTCCAGTCATTTAAAGTCAATTTTCTTCTGATTGGCTGCTTCTCAGAGAGCGTAGATATAATCAGCAGGCAGTTGTCTTCTTATAGCTACACTATTTTTTCACTTAGATTATTTGTCTCTGTCACCCTACAGAGCAGAGAGTAGAAAGAATTGCCAGAAGCTGTGTCAGAAAGTCTGAAACCTGAGCTTTGGACTCACAGCCATTACTTGTACATATGCTGAGCTCATTATTTGAAACTGCATACACACATTCAGACACCTTTCAGATCATAGATGACACAAATATATATTTAAAAAAGACGCATTAAATAACGAAGGCAGGTTTTATTTGGAATCTGGCGCCACACAGACGAGCGGAGCAGCCTCTGCTCAGACTGATGCAACTAAAGATGGATTTATTTCACAGGAGAAAATGTATGTGGACCATGGGATCATTGACAGTGAGAGCGTGTGAAGGTAAAGGGATAAAGATTGTTAAAACAGTCAATTAAAAGAAACATTTAGAGGCAAACTAAAGAGGGAAGATTTAGTCGTGAGGCTGAGGCTTCTTAGAAATCGACTTAAATGTTTGCACTGGGTTTTGTTGTGTTAAAATCATTAATTATGCCTACACTTTGCACATCATATATTTAGGAAATAAAGACTTCAAAGACGGGCTTTTTTAGTAGTCAATAAACCGAAAGCAACATAAGTTCACCTGTTCCATCACAAATGTTTTTTAAAAAGATCACACAATAAATGATGAACCAGTTTTTTCAAGAGAAATTTGAAATTTAATGAAGGGAAGTTCTTGTTTCCACAGACAACAGCTTCAGTGAGACACAGTGTGTAGGTGCTGGCAAAGAGATGCCACTTTAAAGACAAATAAAACAAGCAGCGTTTTGCTCGGTTTGACTCGAGGCTGGTGAGGACTGTCCAAAAATAGGCAGATGAAGCAGGTACATTAAATTAAACCCCTATCGAAAAGAATTCAGTTCGACGCATCGGGGTGTATGTTCACCAGAGTTGAGCAACGATGGAGAGGAGATGCACATACAGTAGAGAGCACAGGCAGAGAGCATGACTATACAATAAGAGGTCTCAGCGTCAGTCCATAGCTTGAGAACCCCTGTTTGTGAATAACAGCTGTATTTTAGTCAACAGTATCTGATAAGTTACACTGTTTTAAAACAGTCTTTTGGGGCTCAGCTACACACACAAGAAATTCAAGTCCCACAGTGTCGCCTTCTCTTTGGGCAGTGTATCCTTTCCAGTGGTTAAAGTCCATTCAGATAGTCATCAACAAGCATAAACTTTGTATCTCTTGAAATGACAGTCTGGCCTTTTTCCTTTTTACCTCTTCCAACAAATCACACAGTATCATGTTAATATATTTAACAGCAATGTCCTTGGGGAGTCGTACATCCCACCAGTTCAGAGGTCAATCACTGACTTTGATGCTTGTTGAGTGCTTTGGCCTTCAAAAGTGATACAGTGCTGTAACAAGATCAAAAGTCTGTATCCATGAGGTTTAAGAATGCATCCAAGATTTGGTCATTTTTCCGCTGGTCAAATTACCCCATGACAAATAAACAAACAAAATCCTCTGCATCTCAGAGGAACAGTTCAACCTTTTTGGGAAATGCTTATTTACGTTCTTGTCAAGAATCAGATGTGTTGTCTTAGAATAAAAAAGTTACAGCCATCTACTGGTTAGCTTAGCATAAATACAGGAAACACTCCACACGGATCCGCACAAGAACTCTACGTACAAGGCCATGCATCACTCACTACCTCACACACTTCCTTAATCCAGGCAAACTCCAGTGTCAAAGTTGTGGTTTTATTAGGTTTAACTGAATGATATGGTGTTATGTATTAATCACTGGATTTTGTTTTCATCCATGTTTGAGCTACACTAAGGTAACCAGCATCCACCTGTACTCACCACGCAGACATGAGAGCGGTATTATCGTTCTCTGGAAGAAAGCAATAAAACACATCCCCTTCAGCTTCTACTCGATATGGACACATTCAACATTGAACAGTTGAATAATAGACGATCCAAAATGTGGGAAAAGTACATATAATATACAAAAATATTAAAGAAAACACTACTTTGCTCTACCATTGGTTCCTTCATTTCTACAACAAGTTGAGGTGGTTTGCAGTGCCACTTACAGGATAATTTGGCCAACAGAAACAGTCCTCTGTGCGCTCCTGCGTTGTGTACAGTATTTACTTAGTGAAGAGACTGGGACGTTAAATTCAGTCCATTACTCCCATCTCTTCCATAGTCGTGACCTAAGCCAGGATGTCACTCCGCTTGCTGCACCAGACCACCAGGCCAATCATGGCCAAGGTGAGGAAAACGGGGATGAGGATGAGGATGGTGAGGGTGTCGTCCGGGGGATCCAACCACACCGGCTGGTCTATGGTGCAGTTGGAAAAAAAGTGCTTGTGTATGTGGATGATGTAGCGCTCCACCAGCGGATTGGGCCAGTAGCAGTCGACGATCTGGGACTTTGTCTCTGTGCAGAGGGTGAAGAGGTGGTACTCACTGAGGAGAAAGACAGGAGAAGGAAATGTAAAAGAGGAGGAGAAAGTCATGACTCTTAGTTATAAGCATGAAAATATTAAAATACATAACACAGATGGCCTCCCTCCTTCCTATCATAGCTCAGAAGTACATTACTTATTCTACTGCTGTTACTCTTAGGAGCGCACCGGCATTTAAACCCTTCTGTGGTTTAGCTAGTAATAACCTTAGCATCAGCAATTTGGTATGTAATCCATCATAGTGATTGGGTACACGCTGCTTTTTCTGGCCCACTACCTTCTCTATTTCACCAGGAGCTTTTTAAAAACTCAGAGCTCTGCTTTGACGAATACATTGAGCCATTTCTAATCCCTCGTTCTCCGTCCTGCATTCTCTATCAAAGAGGTCCAGCTTCTTTTCTCATGACACACTGAGAGCTGCTCCTATCCTCAGCAGGTGAACATTAAACCGAGCGACAGTATTCCCACGCTCCCTGCTGATCCGAAACTGATTTGTCATGTTTCGATGATGTGGATCTGACACTCTATGTTATTAAAACTTACAGACTGGCTGGTAAAAAAGACTGTGCAATGGTTCATGAACCAAGCACTATTGTTGCAGTCGCTTCTCAAAATACTATACTAGCAACTGTGAGCTGTCATGTCATTAGCTACAGCAGTACTGCGAACAGTTTCATATTTTTGCTTCCTAATTGATGTCACTTTTATAATTATTTTCCAAAAAACTTTGTTCTGTCGTTTTGGCACCACTTCTGCTTTGTTCAGATTTATTTTTAAACTGTATAATGCATTAATTATGGCATCTTATGCAATATTAGCGTGGGACTTATATAGCCTGGGGAATCATTTGAAATAACTGCACAGGTCATCAGCGATCCTAATGACGAAACTGCACTGCCAGTTACCCACTATATTAAGCTCGTGCTTAATTGTGGTTTTAATATAGAATCAGAATCTTGATGATTTGAGGACAAGTTTTTGTTTTTCATCTGATTTTCTGAGGCCACCAAAGTGAATATATACTCTACACTGCATGTATGTTTAAAGTTGCGAGGCAGCTGAGCTTTCTTTTTCTTGATGTGCAGTCTTGTGAAAAACTCATCGCAGCCATGACAAAGTAGTTTGTAGAGCCACCTTTAGCAGAAAGAAAATGAAGTAAGAGTTCTCCACCGTGCTGACAGTCGGTATGAGGTGTTTGTGCTAATGTGTCTTCAGCTTGGTGTTCACCGACTGTGATGTTGGGCATTATAGTCAAACATCTCCACTTTGGTTTTGTCTGTCCAAAGAACATTCTTCCAGAAGTCTTGTAGTTTGTTCAAATACAGCTTTGCAAACCTAAGCTGTGCTGCCATGGTCTCTTTAGAGGGACTCCTGGCACCCTTTACAAATAAGCCATACTTTGTTCAGTCTTTTTCTGGTTGTGCTGTCATGAACTTTAACATTTAATATGCAGAGGACTGCAGTCTGAATTGTAGCTCTTGGGTCTTTTGCAATATCTCTGAACATTGCACAGTCTGACCTTTGGGTGAATTTGTTGAAACACTCAGTCCTGGGAAGATTGCACCATTGCCAAAACATCTGCTCTCATAGAGGTGCTCACACTTGCTAATGATCACCGAATCAAGTGTATTTGATTAGCACCGACTGGCTGCTGCTTACCCTCATAGTTCCTGTGGAATCATGTAGTCACGTAGTGTCCAATGAATGCTTAGTAGTGCATGTGCGTGTGTGAGTGCGAGTGCATGTGATTTGAGAACATTGAAAGTCCACTGACAAAAACCGAAACACATGAACATTAGTGCTGACAGTAAATCTCTGAAATACAAGGTAACATCAGCAACATTATGTCAAACTGCTACACAGATTTACCAGCCTGCCACAGGACAACAGCCAAGAGCAGGAACAAGGGCTCATTAATGTGCTATCTAACATTTAGACCGCTTCACCCTGCTGCCCTGTTTATAGCACATATAAGTTCGGTTCTGACGTCAAGCTGCAGCCATTGTTTTCTGAATGCCCTTTGCTTAAGTGCCACAAATCAAATAAGCCCTGCTGCCTGTGTGTTTACACTGTGTATAGATGCATATAGTGCGCTGCAAGCAGGGCAAGAAGGCACCACATGTCAGATAAGACGAGTGCCCTGTCAAATCTGAACTCAGCAGCAGTATATTATTGGAGGGCCATAAGCTCATATGTTATGTTTGAAAGTTACTAACTCTTTAGAAATATCTGCAGATGCAGTTATTGTGATTAGATTGATTGTGGTAAGATACTGGGAGTCATTAAGGCTTACGAAACTGATGCTTTTAAAATAAAATGTGTTTTACGCCACTGGCAGAAGAACCTGAGAACGTGATGGCAGAGAAAAGGCTTTGATGATTGGAGAAAACACAAAGGCAGAGAGTACAAGAGCTATTAGACAGAAGTGATCAAAATGCAGACTGAAACCGTAGGGAACAGCAGACTTTTGAAACTGTTCCCAGATGTAACGCACAGCAACATGTTTTTAAACTCTCATCCACATGGGATCATCGGTTACGAGGGTAGAAAAAAATAGTTTGATCTGATTCACAGCTGATGTCCCAATGATTGCATAACCATGGAGATGACAACACACAAATGTGAATACACAATATAACCAAACACACTCACGTGTGACAATACAGATAGTTGTATACCCACATGACAGTTTTGAGACTGCAGACAGATACTGAAAATTGCTGGTAGTTGGTACCAGTTGGAGTATTTTAATGCCGAGACATAAAGCTTCACTAACTGTGTTATTCTAATTCTTTCCCTGAGATATTGTTAAGCCCCGAGAAAAATCCAGGCCCATAAATCAATTTGAACGTTTAGCTCTGAAAGGCAATAGCTTGTAATTTGTTAAATAGTAAGGAGACTCCACATATTCACATTTCTAAATGTTGTTACAGGGTTTTTTAATATATTTAATAGTGTGTATTATTACACTCAAGACAAGGAAAGTGGGGGAAAATAGCTTCCAGTAAGTTTTAAACCATTGTAAGTTTTAAGATTTCCTGCTAACTACTTCCTCTTACTTTTTAAAACATCAGGTAGTCTCCCCAAAGCTACACAGGCTGCCAGTTGTTTGACAAAATAAAAGGTATCTCTTACATAATAATGCAATAATTATTGTAGCTTCTAAATGTCCAAAGTGAGCAAGAAGTGCGGCAGAGTACCTGCAAACTCTTCAATAAACATAGTTTGAGTCACACAGCTTTCCAGTTACTGGGCTTATACAGTTGCTTAGATTTCTGTCACACTTACATGTTTCAGATCATCAAGTACATTTTAATATTAGTCAAAGAAAACCTGAGTAAATAGAAAAAAGCAATCCAAAAGCACCTGTCCCTGTGTGATCAACGGTGTGTGATTTTTTTGGGAAAGGTGAGTTCAACTGTCACGCAGGCCTGATTACTGTCAGACCTGCTGAATCAAGAAATCACTTGAAAATAACCTGTGTGACAAACTGAAGCAGGCTAAAAGCTCTTCAAAACTAAAAAAAAAATCTCACAAGACATCCAAAGAAACAGCTGGGAAACAAAGTCTATCAGTCTGGAAAAGGTTACAAAGCCAATTTTAAGGTTTTGGGACTTTAGTGAGCCACAGTGAGAGAAATTATCCACCAATGGAGAATACCCGGAACGATGGTGAACCTACTAACCTAATAAAATTACTTCAACTCATCCAGGAGGGCACAAAAAACCCAGAACAACATCGAAAGAACTGCAAGCCTCACTTTCCTCAGAGTCAGAATTATACAACAGTAAGGAAGAGACTGGGCACAAATGGCATCAAGGAGAAAAAACACTGCTCACCAAAAAGAACCCAAACGCTCGTCTCACATTTGAAAAAAACATCTTGATGATTCCTCAAGATGTTGGGGGAAATATTGTGTGGACTGATGAGACTTAAGTTCAACTTTTTGGAAGTTTTGACTCCAGTTAAATCTGGAGTAAAACTAAAAGCATTTCAGAAAAGGAACATCATAATAACAGTCGAACACGGTGGCAGTAGCGTGATGGTCTGAGGCTTCTGTGCTGCTTCAGGACCTGGTTGACTTACTGTAATTGATGGAACCGTGAATTCTGCTCTCTGCCTGAAGGAGAATGTCCGACTATTAGTTTGTGCCATGAAGCTCAAGCACACTTGGCTTATGCAGCAGGATAATGATAAAAAACACACCAGCAAGTTATCAAAGGACTCTAATTAACAGATTTCAATCAACTATAAAATAATAAAGTCCACCTCAGAGTGATTAAAAAAAAACAAATCAACCAGGCTTTAGAGTGGTCCAGTGAAAGTCTGTACTTAAATCAAACTGAGATACTTTGACATCACCTTAAAGAGGCTGTTCAGTGTGGCTAAATTAAAATAAATCTCCAGTGAAGATTTGGCCAAAATTCCTCCACAGTGATGTGAAAGATTCAGGTGTTTTGACACAGCATCATGTAGGTTTGGGTAGTTTTTTGTTGTGTTTTTTCCTTAAATGAAATCATCATTTAAAAACAGCGCCTTGCATTTACTCAGGTTATCTATGACGGACAGTAAAAGTTATTTGATTATCTGAAACATTTAAATGTGACAAACATGAACAAAAGTAAGAAATTGTTTTTTTGTACTTTTTACCTCGCTGCACTTCACACACATATTTGGAGCATAAGAAAACTCTTAAAATATTGCCGTTAACTATTTGTGTAATAACTTTTTTTTCTTCCAAAGACTGGGATTTTATAATGAGGCATTTCCTTTTTCCAAAGAAAACCCCTAATATGAATTCTTTATTCCTCTGGCTCCATGAAGGATGACTCCTCTGATTAACAATAGCTCACCAGACAAAGAAAGTTGACCTTCACCATTTATATGGTCAAATACATGTAATATATGGAAAGGACATCTTTAGGAAATTAATGTTTGATTTTTTTTTCCAGAGCCATTTTGATAATATGAAAGGTCTTATTATAACCTTCTGGCCAATGT